CTAAATGTTAAACTAAATGTTAAGTGAGAAAATTTTACATTGAGAATATAACAAAGAAATATGTAGTTTTAATACAAGAAATGCTACTCTATTTATTATCAATTAATTTTAGATTAAATGTAAATCTTGTATTGAAACTTAAATGTCTAATTTTCATATAATATCATATCCCAAGCTCTATTCCTAAGAAGTTTGCTGTTGCCCACCTAACACCCAAGTTCACATAGACTTACCTATAAGGAAACCTATTAAGTTATATAACAAGACTTGGCCCATAAGGGACATGTTGAGTGGAATATCTCACATTTGGTTTAAATACAGCTAATTAATTTTAGGTTAAATGCATGCTGTCTTATGTTGTGTGAACACCAAAAATGGCAGCAAGGATTTTGAGCATAAAGGTGCACAAAGGTGACCGATGGAAACCTACAAGATAGGAAGGTGGTCACCAGACACTTGCAAAACAGGAAGGCGTTAGAACTTAGAACTTAGCTAGAGGTTGGAGTTAGTCTTCACTTGGCACTCCGACGCTCAACGTAAGATATGAATCCATGGTGGGAAACTGGTTGTGTCTGAGTGGAGAGCAGAAAAAAGAAGATGAATCTAGGAGAGGAGGTGAGTATGGTGTGTATGAATGAGAGAATGAGTGAAGGGGATATTTGATTGTTGCCTCCATGTAATTGCCTCCATGTAATTGCCTCCATGTAATCCCCACTAGGTTGTGTGTAGGTTTCTGATCCTTTGATGAGAGCATGTCACCTGTCAATTTTAAAGTATTTTTTAAATAAAATAATTATACATGGTATTTTATAAGATTCTTAAATTTGAGATAGGTTTTCACTAATTTTCACAAGTTTGATTCATTTATTATACTCAATTTATATTTTGAGTATAATATATTAAAACTTATATATTCAATTTTTACATAAGTTTGGATACGTGAGTTAATATTAAAAATATAATTACACTCAAGTTTAAATATTTTATATATAAGAACGGTTCCCTCCGACCCAATGGTATTGAATATGAGTTAGGACTGTTCATCTCGATGGGGTACACGTTCGAGTTTCATAAAAATTTTTTCTTCTTTCCCCCAATTAACCCTGTAAATAATTACAAATTGTTCCAAAAAAAAATATTTTATATATAAAAAGCTTATATATAAAAATAATTATATAGATTATTGTTATTAATTTAAATTTTAAAAAAAACTTGAATGCTACTTGAGCTCTAAGTCAAACTCGAATTTACCTCGAGTATGTTCAAGCTCAAACTTTAATGCTTTTGAGCTTAATTGAAATTCCAGCTCCAACTTGAACTTGTTACTATAATATCAAGTTCAAACTCAAGTACTAAAATATTTAACTCTCCTTGACTCATTTACCGTTGTAACTCCACCAAACTGTCCAT